GTTAAGAAATAGCAAGAAACAAATGGGGCGTCAAAAATTTTTTGATGCCATTTTGTTTCTCGCTTTTCTTGACAATTTTTATTTTAACTATGTGTTGAAGTATAGAAGGAGTTATCTCATAAAGTTATTTCATTTAATAATTTGTTTTGGAAAGTTTAATTAACTTTTAACTAATTTTTTAATGTTTATCTCTGATATAGACACAACTTGTCTAGACACTTGGGGATTCCTTTAAAGACCCAAAGCATTTCCAGATATCACAATTCACGATCACTTAATTTGAGGCCTGTAATTAATCAATAAGAAATTTAAAAAGTTTTTTTGCCACTTATCCTTGAAAGAATTAAGAGAAGAGTCGAAAAGAATTTAAGATTTCCTTATATTTTTGAAAGCCACTATACTTGTAAAAAAAACTTTAGAAACTTTTAATGACAAATTTTGACGGAGGTTGATATATAAAAGTGTTTTGATGGAGCTTCAGAGCCATAGCTAGACTAACACACACCTAATTATAAAGGGGTGGGGTGGGGAGGGAGAAAAGCTAAAATTAGTGGGCCCATTTGCAAATTTTAGTAGCATTTTTTTTTTTTGAAATACTATGTTTTAGTAAAAAAAAATTTTATGGGGCCCTAATTAAAGGTTATTTATTTTATTTTGTGGGAGGGAGGCTATTGTCCCACAAGCCACGGCACTGGGAAGGTTAATACATAAAAATGTACCATGTTTTTAATGAGAGTTTTTAAGGGATGTAAATATGTTGTTAGAAGTTTTTAATGATATCTTTTCAAAGATGCTTTTGTATGGTTATCCAATATAAGTATGAAAGAAAATTTGTAAAACCAGAGTTTAATTTATTGAAGATAAGAATAAAATAATTCTTTGTTGTGCAATCTCATGATAATAATCTTGCATGACATTCAAGATTATCACGAGTTCTTAAACACTGAAAATAAGTGAAAAAAGTACTGAAAGGTGTGCTGGTGCACCACTCACTCAACAAAAAAAGTAAAATAAGGAAAAAAAACTTTAGACCTACACTTTAATATTTATATAAATAAAAAAGTAATAGAAAATGATGCATCTCTTGTGTTTCTATAATATACAAAACAACTGATACTGATATAGTAATATAAAATAAAATTTTAAAATTTTTAGTTTTTTTATAAAAGACTGAAGAAAAAACATTTTAACTTAAAATATTAAAAAAAAAAAATTAAAACTAAAAAATATATATATTCTAACAAATAAGCTTTTAAAAAGAAAAGGAAAAAAAAAGTAATATACATAAAAAGTAATATAAGTAATAAACATTTTAAAATGATATTTGAACTTAATTAAATAATTAGAAATTAGCAAATAACTTGAAATGTACTTTGGCAATAATATAAAAAATCAGTGATTTTTTATAAAACAAATTAAAAAAAAAAGTCACTTTTAAGTTGACATGGCAAAAAAATTATTAAGTGCAATATTGAAAAAACCCAGGAGCAATATATACATATTAAAAATTTTTAAGAATATTACCCTTGGTGGTCCTAGAATCATTCCAGTCCAGCGTACCAGATCCACATCGTCATCACTTTCTAAACCCCAACTAACAGTTCCATCACCTCCTTTTTGACCTTCCTCAAGTTCTTCCAATAGTCGAAAGTTACGAGGAACTAAGAGAAAAAAAATCTTTCATATATTACTATTTAGTAAAATAATTATTTACGATTAGATTTTTAAAATTAATTTTTAAACATTCATCCTCATAAGATTTAGTGTGGCCTTGACTATGGTATGATGTACGGTATGAGTGTTGTGGTGCATACTTTGAAATAACACTAAAAGGGACAGATCCAGAAATTTTTGGTAGTGGGGGGAAGGGATGCATCCCCTGGATCCATCACCGAACACTATGTCAGTTTTCAATTAAAATGGAACCAAGTAGTCATAAATTATATGCTTTGTGAGTTATAGATAAATTTGCAATAAAACATAATTTAACTTATATCAAACGTAACTTTGATAACCAATTAACCACCTTAATATGACCATGCAAATGCTATTTAATTTTGAAAAATTGACCACGTTTGTGAAGATGTTTTAAAAATTTAAAAAGAAGCAAATAAATCTTCATAAAAGAAAATAACAAAAAATAAAATAAAAATAACTTAACTAAAACTAAAAAAATCAAATTAAAACTTATACGAAAAACAATAATTAAATATAAATTACTTAAATTATGTTTATAATGAATATTTTTGAATCGTTTATCTTTACTAATGTTTTTACAAAATTATATTATGTAAAACATTTTTGAATCACAGGCCTTCTCAGGAGACGCGTACCTTGAATGACCACATATATTTAGTTTTTTGTTGATAACATGGCCACGATTTTTTTCGCATTTATTAAAAATAACGCATTTTAAAAACGCGCTGAAAAAATCAAACTAATTAGTCATCTTTTTGGGTTTTTTTTATTAATAATAATTTATTATTACAATTATTTATGAGAAAATTAAAACCTAACAATAATGCACATATATATATTTGTAATTAATGATAAAATAAAAAGATAAAAATAATATATAACTATATTTATTTTTATTTGTTTTCATGCATTTAATAAAATTCTGGCAATTTTTCGTTAAGTTTTTATTTACTAAATGAATTACGTCATTACGTAATTATTATTTCTTCCTGTTGGCTTGTAAACTTTTTTTATAAGGAGAATTTAAAAAAAAAATTTTTTTTTTTTCATATGTATTAAAATTATTTTTTTTTTTGTTTTTTTTTTGTTTGTTTATGTACTATTATTTTGGTGGACATATAGATGTTTAGAAAAGATTTAAATATTTAAAAATTTAACTTAGCAGCAAAGCCGGCGCAATAGGGGTGTTTGTGTGACCCCTCCCCCATCAATGATTTTTAGTCGGCAAATTTGACCCTTAGTCGGCAAATGTGACCCTTTTTGACTAGTTAGTCGGCAATGTAGACTCTGTCGATAGGTTAGTCGATTAAGTAAGTCAGCAAATGTTGTTATGGCAGTCGGTAAAATTTCAAAAACGAGGACCTTTTTTTTTTATATACATTTTTTTTATTTTTAAGACAGCAAAAGTTGTTATGGCACCCCCCCACGTGACCCCTACTCGCGCCGACTCTGCTTAGCAGCATTATAAAAATTTAATCTTATAAAAATAAAGCAATACCCATAAACGTAAGAAGTGTAAATAGAAACTTCAACAAACCAATTACTCAATTAAGTAATAATAAAGATGTAAGACTAAAATATTTTTCTAAAGTTACTCTTGGTCTTGCGAAAATATTATTTCTGGTTTGATAACTTTTATGAAAGTTATGAAAAATCACTCAGGAAGAGTGCCACCAGTTTTTAAAAAATTTCTTTGTTAATTATTTTTAATGAATGAGTTCAATACTTATGCAATTCTTTTGTTACATAACTCTAACTCTTAATAATAGATAAAAAAAATCATGATAACAGCTCGATAATGTAAGTGATGTAATTTAAGTAAAAAATACAGTATCAAAAAAACAAGTTTATTTTAAAAAAGTTTTTATAAAAATTTTAAATTGGTATAGAATTATTTGCATTTTGTAAAAGTTTCTAATACAAACTGATTTACTGATTTGCAGAAATGAGACCTATAAGTTGAATTTGTTTTTTTACCTTGTTTCCTGTGTAACATCAGTGCAAGTAGCATTTTTAGTAATAAGTTTGCTTTCTTTCGGCCTAACACAAAACTTTTAAGCATATTTTATTTATTAGATAAACAGCAAAATTTATACAAAATTGCTAAAAGTTTAATTTAAAAGTTTAAATAAGCTAATATTTGGTAAAGTTATTGCGTGTAACGTAAGTTAAAAATGGAAATGCCTATATATGTTATTTTAATGTTTCTATTTTCTCATTAATAACTATAATAATAAATTATTAATAATAATTAAAAAAAGATGAGTAATTAATTTTGTTTTTTCAGCGCGTTTTTAAGATGCGTCATTTTTAACAAAAGCGAAAAAAATCGTGGCCATGTTATCAACAAAAAATTATATATGCGTGGTCATTCAAGGTGTGCGACCGCACACGACCGAAGGCCTGAATCAAGTAGCAACTTACATTTAACAGTTGTTTAAAAAATATGCACAATTAAAATTAAAAAAAAAAGATTCTTTGCAGTAAGGTAAACAAAAGAAGAAATAATTAAATTGTTTCTTTAAAAATTGAATATAATTTTTTTATTTAAACATCATAGGTTATCCTAGTCATATTTTAAATATCCGGAAAATTGTTTGAATAAAATATCCAGAAAAAAATCCGGAATTTGTTTCCCTTATTTTCTTTTTAATTTCGCTTTTAGCTAAGTGATGCTAATTTTTTTAAATACTTTTCATAATTTTTTTATGAGTGATGAGTGAAAAAGCTTAAAAAACAAATATATTACAAAAATATATACATCAACTTGCATTTATTGAAAATGTTTTGGATATCCGGAAAAATTATAAGTTGAAAAAAATATCCGGAATTCCGGAAATATCCGGAAAAAGATAATCCCTGAAACATTTATAGTAAAAATACATAATTATATAAATATAAAAAATATATATATTTATAAATAATTTATATAAAAAAACATTAGCAGTGATTTGTTACTTTATTTAGACGTGTTTCAATAATAGAAAAACATAAGTAAAGATCAAAGTTATTTAATTCAAAAAGCTTTCAAAAAAGATTGTCATTTATTCTTATATAAAGTTTATTAAACGTTAGTTTAAAGTAATCTCTTATAAAATTATTACTATTTTTTTAAATACATTTATTATCAAAAAATCTTTTATATGTAATAATATAAATAAAAATTTATACAACTGTCATTAAAACTTTGATTAAAATCATTAGTTACTTTATTTAAAATCATTTTTGTTAATATAAAAACGTTAGTAAAGTTAAACGTATTGAAGTTGATAATAATAAATTAAAAATAGCAAGCCCTCCCAGGAAATGGAAATATATTAAGCCTTCCCAAAAGAGTGTGTTTTTCATCCTTACATGAATATTTTATTTGAGACAACTTGGTCATGATCGTTATCAAGTTTTATTATAATAAATAGAAAAAAAATTATTAATTTTAATAATTTGTATTGTTTTTATTATTGTTTCTTTAGGGTGGTTATTATTTTTAACAATGAAAGTGTATAATGCAAATTTAAAAAAAAAAAACAGTTTTAAGTTGATATTTAAAATAATGAATTTCTTATAAATTTTTTTTAAAAAGAAGAAAGCAAAAATGTAAATTGCTATCTGTTTGTACACTATATTTATACAATTTTAATGTAACAAGTATATATTGTCCTTCAATGAATATATATATATATATATATACATATATATATATATATATATATATATATATATATATATATATATATATATATATATATATATATATATATATATATATATATATATATATATATATATATATATATATACTTTTATGAAATGCATGCATATATTTTTATGAATAACATTTTTTAAATACAAATAAATTATATTTATTTGTTCATTAATGTACACACATTTTTTTTATTTTACTTCACCTCCTCAAGGCCGAGAAGGCCACTACAGACGAGGAGGCTACTTATTTTGTGGTTATAACCCTCTCTCAACTCTATAACTCCGAAACACGAACCTTGACAAACAAGGCCGCTGCGCGGAGAAACGAGTTGAGCGCGGTACTACCAGGGACGTGGTGGGGATCGATCTCGGAACCACTCGTTTATGAAGCGAGCGCTCTACCACTACACCACTACCGCATAATATGATTATATATGATTATATACATGTTTTATATATTTACCTTATTTGGATTATAAAGGTGAGTTTCCACTCATCCGTTTTTCTACGGGAACGGGATAGGAAAGGGAAAAATAATCACTTGAGCATGCGCAGTTTTAATTCGGACAAATTAAAATTTAAAATTATAATACGCATGCTCACGTGATTATTTTTCCCTTCCCTTTCCCGTTCCCGTGAAAAAACAGATGAGTGGAAACTCACCTTAAGACATTTACCTTGTACATAGAATGTGGTTTGAATCCCTCCACTTCCAGGGCTTACCACTCATTCCGGCGGAATTTTAGCGGAATTTTAGCGGCGGAACTTTAGCGGAAAATCGGCAGTTTTTAAGCAAAAAGTAACAATATTTGCCGCATAAAATTTTAAAAAACAAAAAGGCCCTCAAATTTTAATTTCGGCGGCACCCAAATACGGTTGACGCTGTCGAAAACGATATAAAATAGTCCCTGACTTCCCAAATTTCATATTGTTATTCAACCCGCCATCTCCCTTTTATCTTTTTTATGCGTAAACAATTGTTGAAAAATATTAATCATAAATTTATAACAATAAACATTAATCGTTTACAATCACTATTTTATTGGTATACCAATAAAATAGTTATATGGTATCACCAATAACTATTTTATTACTAAAAAGTAGACCAAAAGAGAGGGGGCGGGTAGAACTAAGACCCAAATGTTAAAAAGCAACATGCATCAAAAATTATAAAGCGCTAAAAGATTGGGGATAAAAAATATACAGGAAAAGAAAAATAATATGAAACAATTAAGATTATTTGAAAATTGTGTAGATGGTAATATGGCATGGCCTTATTATTACACTCTAAGTTATATCGATAAAATATAAAATTATTTAATTGATAAAATATAAATTTATTACACTTTAAATTATTGCATAATAATTTTAATTTATGTAATGAATTATATATTTTGTATATTAATTATTTTAATATATTATTCACCTTAATTGTGAAATTTTAAGCTGTTGTTATTATTCTTAATCCCTGCATTCTATTTCAATAAGAAAATATAAAAAATTTTTATAAGCAGCATAAACTTTTATAGCTCTTTGTCAAAATTTTTATCAAATAAGTAATGTTGTTAATAAATAAATGGATTGGCTATTTATTAATTTATTAACAACACTTATTTGATAAAAAATTTGAAAAAGTATGTGAGAAAACCTAAACATTCACCTAATGAATTTGTAACATTAAAGTTACAAACATATGCTTGTAACAAGTATAAAACTTTTGTATTTTGTATTTAATAACCAATTTTTTTAATGAATAAACAGATAGCTTTTGCAAAAACCAAAAATTCTCTCAAGAAGTTGTTTAAAAGAGCAGCTCACATGGCTTGCCACGTTTGTTTTAGGAGAGCTTTTCTCAGCTCTTGCATTCAATTACTCCTGCTTTAATTATAGTGTAAACTTTATCAATGTTACTTGTTTTCAAAACTATGGAATTTTATTTACATAAAATGATTTTTAGCATATTTTTACACTGCATTAAGATTTTTTAATTAATAACTTATAAAAAAAAACTACTAATGAAATCTAAATTCTTTTTTTTTGTTGAAAAAGATTATATTTCATTATAATTTATAAGTTAAAAAAATTTTACATAACATAATGACTTTTCGTTTATTTTATCACAATTTAGTTTTTTTTTCTTGTTTTTTTACATATTAAATGAGAGATATTTAAGAACATATTGTGCATTCATAAATAAAACTTAAGACCTATGAACTTAATGAGATTTTGAATAAAAAAGGAAAAGACTTAATTCAATTGCTGAAAGAAGTTCTTTTAATGAAAAACTATTTTACATTCCTTTAAAGTTAAATTTAAGTTTTTAATTTTAAAAACCATATCTAATTTATAGTTTTTTATTAAAAAGGAAAACTTACTTAACTATCTGTTGTTGTTTTTAATCAAAAAATTAAATTAAAATGAATGTCGTTAACTTTTTTTTAACAATAATCAATTTAATGAAAAAAAAAAAAAAAACGCAACAAAAACGATATCAAAACCATTTAAATATTCGAATTGATAAAATTTTTTGTTAAACGTAAATTGCTGAACATTTAGGTGAATTCACCATTTGATATGTATAATGCATACTGCATAGCTTTATAACTGTGTCTGAATTTAAATATTTACCCATTAGGCTTAAGATAAATTTTAGGCGCTTAAAAAAGTCTTATGACCACTAGGCAAAACAAACCAATTTAGCATTGTGTGAACCTGTCGATACTAGCAAATGTTTGAAGCATGTAAAACAAACTTAGAAAAGTTTTTTATATTAATATATTACAGTAAACTCATTATTTACTAATTGTTTATCTTGTGCTTTATTTTATTGTTGTTTTTATGTAAAAAAATACTAGACATTTAAGTCAATTTTAAAATTTAAAATTTGCATTGCTAAATAAGCAAAAAAAATAATTTTAAAATTCATCTCAAAATAAACACAGTGAGTTAGCAGTTATTTTACTAGGTTTTATTATCTTTGTACAGGTTTTTTTTTAATTAGACTTAACTGGATAAAACAGTCAACACAATATTTACTCATTTTCTAATGAATTATCTTGTATGAAATGGCAAAGTTGCTTTTCTTTATTTATTTATCTAGGCTGACTTTATTTATTTATTTTCTTTTGAAATCACAGCTGAGAGGCATTAAATCCATCAAATGATTTATTCTTGCTTTGGTAAGTCTATAAATAAAACTTAATTAAAGTGTTTCTTAGGCTTTTAAATTTACAATACAAATTTCATATTTGCAAGATAACGCTGAACGGATATATAATGGATAAACACATTAATTATCAGTATAATAAATTTTGTTTTGAATTTAAGATAAATGTAGCCAATTTCATTATTGAACATATACATATACATTTTTTTCATAAAAATTGTACCTTCAATATTTGACGCCATTTCTTATTGGACACAACTAACGCCTATTACGCCCGTCTATACAAAAATTGCCATTTGTTTTATAAAAATATTGAGCATTATTTAGGAGGTACTTTATATTGACTTTAACTACTCTGCGGTCTGGAATTAGTGATACCATTTTTAACCCCCGTTTCTAGCAGTATTTTATTTTAAGTTTTAAAACATTCCGGAGGTAATATAAAAAATTGAACCAACGACCATCATTCGTCGATTTTCTTCAGCCTTTTTGAGCGAACACTGAACGCAAAATGGTTGGTAAACTTGCACGCTTTATATTATTTTCATTCGGTTGAGCGTTTAAATTACAAATGTGGTTGTTCTTATGAATCATTTACTGCCATGTTTAGGTCTATACGAGGTTTGTTGAGGCCGGCCGTGTAGCCTTAGTGAACTTAGGAAAATACGAAGGAAAATTGGTTGTCATTTGTGATATAGTCGACTTAAAAAGAGTAAGTTTTAACAAAATTTTATAATAACAATATATTTAACATATTTCTTGCGTAATTATGTTGCTTTGCTTTTTTATATTAAAGTTATATTTAGTTATCATTATAATTAGAATATATTTTTACTGAAATGTTTTTTTATCATTAATGCTATATTAATTATAGTTTTTCAGAAGTTCAAAATCCATGTAACTGCATTTTAATAAAACACTTTATTTTTTGAAAATGCACTTTAGAATATGATTTTTATATTAGAGTATTAAAACACTAATGTATGTAAATGTTTTTGAGTTGTGAGTTGACTTATAGCAAGTCATTTAGCAACTAGTGATAATTTTTATTGCCCTTCAATTTGTCTCGTCTATAAATCTCTAAGACTTAACTAGTTTTAATTTTCATGGAACTGTTCTATATATCAAAATTATTGTCTAAATGTGTCACATGTTAGAAAAATTCCTAGATTAAACTAAAATGTTAGAATAAGCATGCTGATTTTTAATTTCATTTATAATTTCCAGCCATTTTTTTTGTCATTAAGGGTTGCCTTTTACATTTTCAATTGAATCCTTCCCTAATTAATTTTATTGTTTGTTTTATTTTGTTATTTTCTGTAATATTTTTAATGCCTAAAATGTATGATATGTATTTCTCTACTTTATTTAAAATTACTATTGTTGTATTTTAGTGTATTTGTATAGACACTTTTTATTACCTGTGTTTTCACTCCCTTTTTTGTCTGAAAATGAAATTTGACTTGGCACCCCACTCTTTGTATAATTAAATTTCAGCATGTATCAGTTATTTGAATATCAAGAAGATTTGCTTTATTTTTCTATGAATTTTTTAAAAAAGTAAAATAACTTAGTTATAAGTATAAAATAACCAGTTTTAAGGCATATAATAGCTAATGGGTAACAACTTTAGTAGTTATCCATTCGTTCCTAAGTGCCTAAACAATAATGGAAGGAAAATACAGTTACAGCTCTCATTTGTAATAGTTGGAAGCCTCCTAACATTTTTAGAATAATTGACAATAAAAAAATAATTACTAATTGTAATAATTACTAATAGTAATATATAATTACCAATTAAAAAAAAATTAACGCATGTGTGTTGCACCTTTGCATTTATTTCAATAATATGTTTTATGAGCTTGTAATGTAAATTTATGTTTAAACACGATGGATGCAGTTAAATCATTCATTGACTGATCATTGGGGATTAACATTGGGGATTAACATTTGGGGATTAAAATATGTATTTATTAGTTGACTTTAAGGATTTGGACAGTAATATTGATTGTTAATAGTATTTTATGGGAGTGCATTTACAACCTTGAAAAATTTAATATTAAAATTAAATATTTAAAAATTTAAATATTAAAAATATAAAACTAATATTGATTACCCTATAATTATTACTACCATAAGTAAATAAATTTTTGATACAATAAATATAATAACTCTTATAAGATTTTTTACTAATTTTAAATGGCACAAAAAGCTAATGGCTAACAAAATCAATAGTTAATCATTCGTTCCCAAGTGCCCAGATAATAATGGAAGGAAAATACAGTTACAACACAAATTTGTAATGGTTGGAAGCCTCCAAACATTTAAAAACTGTTTTAAGTATAATATTTTCTTAGGTTTCTTTTATAAATAATTCTTTTGATGTCCTTATAAACATTTTCTTTAGTGAATAGTTATAGTTATCTAATTATATAAAATTTTTATTACATTCAATGATATATTTATAAAGATTCAAATTATTTAATCACCTCGTTATTTCTTATGCTTGTAAATATTTTGTTGAAAAAAATTTTTAAGGCACTGAGAGTATATACTTATCCAAAAATTGCAATCAGTAAGTTATAATTTAAGTATTTCATATAACAATTATAATTAGCACAAAAAGCTAATGCCTGGTAACATTAATCACTAGTCATTCGTTCCCAAGTGCACAAATAAAAAAAAGAAGGAAAATACAGTTACAACATAAATTTGTAATGGTTGGAAGCCTCTTGACATTTGAGTAAATGATATAGTATAATTTTTATATTTTTTGTTAAAAAAAGTTATTTTTTTTTAATTTTAATATTATCATATAATTTTGATCATTCTGGTTGTATCTTTAAGTGATTTCTTATATAGTTATAAAATGCACATAAAAGCTAATGGCTAACCAATTTAGTAGTTATTCATTCGTTCCCAAGTGCACAAATAATAATAGAAGGAAAATACAGTTACAGCATAAATTTGTAATGGTTGGAAGCCTCTTGACATTTTTTAATGTTTTTTTAGATTACTTTTACAAAGCACTTATGATGATTTATACCTTAGGACACCTATGAGTAATATGATTGTAATAAGGAATCTGATATGTGCAGCTTTATTTTATTGATATTGTTGCACTTACATAATTTGGTTACAAATATAAGTGCTGCTAGTAGTGTGCAGTGGCGCTTGCTTTAGTTGTCTAAGGTTTTGAGTTAATAATTTGGTTAAACTTTTTTATGGCTTTTAATTAAATACATTATGCACTAGTGATGATTTCTAACCTTAGGACACCTATGATTACAGTGATTGTAACAAAGGATTCTGATATGTGCATTTAATGTATAACTAATTTTTTATCTTTTTGCAAAAAAGAGAATTGTTGCATGTTCATATAAATTTTTAGGGAATAGTTGAAAATCCTGTCAATGGCATTCCTCGTCAAGTTATGCGTTTTAAAGACTTAAGTTTAACAGACTTAAAGGTAGATATTCCACTTGGTGCGCGAAGTGGTACTGTTCGTAAGCAGTATGAAAAAAACGAAATTAATGCCAAGTGGGAAAAAACAGCTTGGTGTGCAAAACTTAAAAACAGAATTGCTAAATCTAACTTGAATGACTTTGATAGGTTCAAGAGTAAAAATGCTAAACAGAATGTAAGTTTATTTCTTGTTGTTCTATCTCCGGGCGATTAGCTCAAAACAATTACTATTGACGGCTATTCTTTAATTATTTTAAGTTGATTTAGTTATTGTAAATAATACTTGTAAAACTAATTTATTTTTATACGTCATTGCACAGTGCTATTTTTGTTTGTTTAGTTTTGTTCTTAAAACTAATAAAATGCTTTTCTTTTAGAAAAATCGAAAAATTAAGGCAGTTTTGAAGTTGATGAAAGCCGAAGCACGAAAGAAGTAAATAGTCTTAAAAATTACTTAGCATATTTGCAATTTTTGCCTTTTCATTTTGTTGGCCGATCGATGAATTAACACAAAAGGAATTCCTTTTTATAAGAGGGTAGGGTGCACAGTAGATACCAGCAAATTTATAGTATTTTGGTATCCAGCTTTAAGTTGGAGTAGATATTTTATAAGAAAATAAGAGTTTACGGGTGGAATGCAAGAAGCGAAATTAAGTCAAGCTCGACTTAACATAACCAATAGCGACAGAGTATGGGTTCTCCCCTCAAAAAATACTAATAAATATTGGTTACAAAATAAAGTTTAAATCGAACTTGACTCAAGTTTGCTTCTTGCATTCCACCCTACATCTAGCTATCTTTTTGAAAATAAGTTTTAATCAACATAAATAAACCGCTTTAAAGATGCCATTTTTTGTAGAATTATAATGAAATGCGTCGTGAAAAATACGTAAACAAAAGTAAAACTTTCAAGCGGTTTATTTATTTTTTCCTGCATTAAATTAATGTTTTCAAGTTTTTCAAAAATTTAATTTTTTTTTTTAAATACATAAAGACAAATAAATTTTTTGATACTGTCCATCTAACCCTAAATATATTGCAACCGTATTTTTTTAAACTTTTTACGTTACTTGAAAGTTCGTCTATTTATATGGTTTTTAGAAAAAATTACCCTTTTTAGCACGACCCAAACTTGTCCAATAAAATAAATTATGTTTCATATATTAAAAACAATGGAAACTGTTTTGCATTAATATTTTTTTTATTTAAAAATTCGTTAATTTTAACTCATTCTAGTTTGTTTCATCAAGAATCTCATAAATAAAAATAAGATAAAATCTAGAAAAATTTCAACTTTCAACTAAATTCTTTACATTATAGTTTCATAGTCTATAATAAAGTCCTCCCGTTTGAAGCAATTGTTTTGTCGGAATAAAGTTAAAAGTCGCTGGTTTCCATTGCTAAGTTTTGGATAAAATATTGATAAAATAAATACATGATTTTCAAAAAACGAGGTTTCCTGAGGTCGGCTTTTAAAATAAGAGTTGTTAGTTATGTGGCAAAGGTTTCATTTTAAATGCTACTCGGCTTAGCTAAGGGGATATCCGAACGATTTGCATTGCTTGAAAACTAAAATTTTACATTTTTAAACAATTATTTTGTGCTTTCTGCTTAATTTCGACTACTATTATATATTTTTGAAAGGTAGAATTTAAGCTATTTTTATATAATTTATTATTTTGTTATAATTCTTTTTTTAACCAAAGCATCAAGCAAAACAAAATTAAAATACTTAAAAAGATCACAATGATCTTATCGTCAGATGCCTTTTACAAAAGAGAGAACATAAAATATTGTAAAAATGCCTTTTTAAGAGTACGTAAAAAACCATAAAAAAACAATCTAAATCATATTTAGATAAATGAAATAAATTGTAAACAAGTATAAAACAAAACTTGAACATACATGACAATAAAACTTTTTATTGTCATGTATGTTCAAGTTTTTATTTTTATCACAAGTTTTTATATAAAGTTTTTATTTTTTATTTTTATCACAAGATAAATCAAAAATATTCTAAGATATTTTCAATAGAAAGAATGAAGTCTTTTAGTTTATCTTTAAAAACATGATGAATTAGGGGTAAGTCGAAGTTAGGCAAAATAGTTTTGTTCCAGAGATGAGCTGCGCAATAAGTGATACAAAATTGATTAAACTTTGTTCGACAGAATGGTTCATTTAAATAATTATTATTCCACTTGCTTAATGGTTTTAAAATAAAAAGCTCTTAAAAAATTATAGGAGATGAATCATGCTTCCACATATGAACAAAAGATAAATTTTTACGTTTCATATTATACGTTAAGTTTTATCGAGGATTTTCATTTAATTAAAAAATATTGAGGAATGTGCGAACCGATCTGCAGAATTAATTTAACGGATCGCATGTTTCTGACGGCGATAGAGACATTGTAACTTGCTTTGATCAGTGCTACCCAAGGCAATAACTCCATAACTTATATAACTGTTGATAAAAGAGTAATAAAGTTTAGTTAAATTATTTTTATGAGTATTATATAATTTCCGATACTTTTTGAAACTTTCGAGCAAACATAGTTAATATGATGTTTCCATATGATGTTCTCGTTAATGAAAACCCCAAGGTTACAGAATTTCTTTTAATTTTAATATGGCCAATAAGTATTTTTGGTAGATTTGGAGGTAAAAATCGTCTTGTGGGGAGCGGGTGGAAAAAAATCCATTTTGTTTTGGTTATATTTAATGTTAATTTGTTACTTTTAAACCATTTAGATAAGTTCTTTGTTCTTCATGGAGAAAAGTAGATAGATGTCACTGTTAGAGAGAAATAAGTTTGTGTCATCAGCAAACCTAATACTTAGAAGATTTGATGCTTTATGTAAGTCGTTGGTATATATTAGAAAAAAAAGAGAGCCTAAGATGGAACCTTGCAGAACACCACAGAAAACATTTAAAAACTGTTTATGATTAAGTTCATTACAAGAAACAAATTGTTTTCTGTTCGATAACTTTGAAACCATTTAATTACTCTTTCATTTATTTTGTAATAACTAAGTTTCATAATAACTAAGTAATAAATAAGCAAAATATAATGATTGACAGTATCAAATGCTCTTAAAAGATCGATAAAAATTCCTAATGCGAATTGAGATTTTTCAAAAGAATTGGAGATTTCACGTACCAACTGAATATTTGCATGCTCAGTTGATGTATTCTTTTTAAAGCCAAACTGATTGTTGTATAATAAATTATTCGAACTAAAATAATTAAATACTCTATTGAACATGATTCTTTCTAGTATTTTTGAAAATATAGATAAGATAGATAATATAGATAATATGAAATAATAAATAAGAGATAGTCCGGTAATTACTTATATCAGATTTGTCACCACCTTTGAAAAGTGGAATACTTTAACAATTTTCACAAGGGTTGAATTAAGGCATCGCGATTTGCGATATCTGTTAAATTATCTGGTCTTCAAAGTTTCAGTTTATGGAAAACCACGAAGTTTACGGAATAGGCGAATAAACTTTAATTTGTTAGTGAAAATGTTATGAAAAACAAAACAATAAATTTATGACTACAAAAGTAATAACACTACAGTGTTGTTACTTTTATAACACTCTTTTAAGTTACATTTATAGTTTATTGTTTGATCAAACAACGCATAATCAAGCTATTATAAATAAAAATGATTTAGTTAAGTAATTCCAAACTTTAATTAAAGTAGTAATGCATCTAGAAAAAATACAACGGATATTTAAACAATGTTAAAAACCTAAGCATCTTTTAAAAATACATATTTTTATAAACAGTTTAGCATTTCTAAACATTTTACTAACGGTCCGGAAAAAACGCGCGTTCACTTTAAAATCAACTAAGGAAAACACTGGTAATTTACTTCTTAGGAGAAATCTATATTAAAAGCGGAGGGGGGGGGAAGGAGGCTATAAACTTAAATTTTGTTTTATTATCTAATCAATTAAATCAGAATAAAAGTAAAGACAAAAAAATATACTTCTAAATATACTTCTTTATAACTAAAATTTATTAAATTGAACACCTCTGTTTTTAGTTTTAAGTAAATGTCAGTACTACTCTTAGTGGCGAAACTGCAGGCAGGGCCGGCGCGAGTAGGTGTCACTAGGGGAGGGGGGGTGCCATTACAACTTTTGCCGAATAAAAAAAAAAAAAAAAAAAAAGGTCCTCGTATTCCAAAATTTGCCGACTGTCATGACGACATTTACCGACTGTCTAACCTATATCGATAGGGTCGACATTTGCCGACTAACTAGTCTAAAACGGTCCAATTTGCCGACTAAGGGTCCTATTTGCCGACTAAGGGTCCAGTTTGCCGACTGATAATCATTGATAGGGGGGGGGGGAGGTGACACCCCCACCCCCTATTGCGCCGGCCTTGACTGCGGGGGGAGGGGGTAGCAGACAAAAAGTGTCCTATTTTTAAGCTAATTTTAGGTTGCATGGGCGATGTGGGGCTCAATTTGAAAATCGTGCGGGGGGGGGGGGGGAATAATATTGCTACTGACTACTCTAATGTGCTTAATACAAAGGTAGGTGGGGGTAGGAATTTTAGTCCGGATGTATAAAATGGGAGGAGGAAATAATAAAAAAAAGGGGGAGGATTTACAATGAAAGTTTTATTATTTATCGGTTACCAATATATATTTGTTTAACTTTAAAGCCAATTTTCACTGAATTTTTGTTTTGAGATATAGTTTTTTGTTTATAACAAGTGAAAATGAACAAAACGGGGTTGGGGGTTAGGTTTTAATAAGCTTGGTGTGGGAGGAGAAGTTTTCCAAAAAATATCTCTCCCCCATTAAGCACCCCATTAATGGGGGTGCTTTTCCAAAAATTATCTCTCCCCCATTAAGCACCTTAAAGCATTTTTATTATAAAAGTAGCAAAATTACCCCCCTCCCCCCGCCCCCGCACAATTTTCAAAATGAGCCCCACATCACCCATGCAACCTAAAATTAGCTTAAAAATAGGACACTTTTTGTCTGCTACCCCCTCCCTCCACAGTCAAGGCCGGCGCGATAGGGGGTGGGGGTGTCACCTTCCCCTCCCCCCCCCCCCCATCAATGATTTTCAGTCGGCAAACTGGACCCTTAGTCAGCAAATAGGACCCTTAGTCGGCAAATTGGACCGTTTTAGACTAGTTAGTCGGCAAATGTCGACCCTATCGATATAGGTTAGACAGTCGGTAAATGTCGTCATGAAAGTCGGCAAATTTTGGAATACGAGGACCTTTTTTTTTTTTTTTTTTTTTTTTTTATTCGGCAAAAGTTGTAATGGCACCCCCCTCCCCTAGTGACACCTACTCGCGCCGGCCCTGCCCGCAGTTTCGCCACTGAGAGTAGTACTGACATTTACTTAAAACTAAAAACAGAGGTGTTCAATTTAATAAATTTTAGTTATAAAGAAGTATATTTTTTTGTCTTTACTTTTATTATGATTTAATTG